CTTTTATCAGAGAAAAATCAATGATTTCCTAACGGTACACCTGTCACCTCCCTCACACACAGCGGTTACACAAGTCCAGCCCAACAGCCAGTGTTTGTACTCATGTCTGTCAGGAACACTTGTCGTTACCCACGCTTTTCACATCAAGACTGAACGACCGAACGGGCTAAGGCGCTGCCAAATTCGTCACACGATCGTGTCTGTGTGTGTGTTTGTTTGTTTGTTTGTTTGTTTGTGTTTGTGTGTTCGCGTGCGTGTGTGCGTGCACGTGCGTTTGGGTACGTGGAGGGATTTTGCCGAAGCTACGACAGAGCCGATCATCGTCAACCTTTTCTTTCATAACAGAGCTGAATTTTCCACGTGTGTACTGTGCGGATGGTGTTCAGCACCAAGGACAGGTGCGTTTACCTTTGCGTGGATGTTTTTCAGCACTAAGGACAGATATGTTTAGCTTTGTGTGAATGGTGTTCACCGCCAGGGACAGAAGCGTAACGCTATATCCGTGTGTGGATGGCGTTCAGCACCACATGTTTTAAACATACAAGTAGACCCGTCGTAGGACAAATGTCCGTCTGCTTTGAGAGATTAAAAAAAAAAGAACATAATCCCAAAAGTCTGTGTAAGACATTTGCTTTCTTTCCTGTCTCTTTATGGAAAAAAATCTAGCGAATATTTATTCTCATCTTTTGAACGTTACAAGATAGGGCATATTGACCCACACGCAAAGCGATACTAAGCAAGTCTGACATAGACAAAAGAAAAGATTCGTTAAAAATTTTATCAACTGGCCATGGAACTATATAATTGATTGAACCAACCGATAAAACAACTAATCAACAACATTAGGGATGACTTTATTCAAACGGTGCAGTGACAGGGCTATGTAGCTGCACTATTCGTAGTTAGGTTGATAAATCACGGTTGTCTAAAATGTGTCAGAAAGTACAAGAACCAGTGTTATCACAACAAAACTGGTGCCAAGTGCCAGATTAGAAATAAACAAGGCGTAGGAATAAAGGTAACAACGCCAGGTGTGGCGGAAACTGAGACGTTATGGCTACTCCACGAAGTGCAAATCAAGAGCTGTTTTGTACATAAGTAAGCAGTACCAGAAGTACACAAGGCCACAAAATAGTTGCCATCTGTGTGTTTAGATACAGGCTTTCCATTCAATACAAGAAAAGCGACTCAACACTGACAACGCTCCGATCATCGTCAAGTCACTTCTCATGCCTGACTTTCCGGAAACGCGCGCGTGAGGGTAGGATTGGGTCCTGTGTGATACAAACCCACTATAGTACTATTAGTGGGTACACTATTATATATAGTAACGTAGTAATGAAGTATCATAGAGTATGCAACACTGAAGCATATAGTAGAGGGGATTCATAGCATTCCTCAAGCTAGCCGACATCTCGCACACGCAGTCGTCCCTAGCTCGGTATGCAACACTGAAGTTAAAATCCTCCCTAAAACTTTCGGTGTATGGGGCGGTGCCAATCCCATCTCCGTTTCTATAGCCCTTGGGTCGCACAATTTTGCAAGCACAGCATGCAGCAGGGGCTAGCCCACTTGAAGTGGTGGATTCAACTTCCATACTCGGTTTAGTGCTGAGTGCTAAGCACAGAAACGAGTACTAGTATGAACCATTTATTCTTATACATGTATATCTCCACTTTTATGACATACACATTCCTTGCGTGCACGCCTACTTCACGATTCTATAGTTCATTAACGGTGGCGTTTCAACTTGACTTTGAAGTGTTTAAACCAAAGTACCCTGGTTTCACACGGACGTTTTTACCTTTGGGGTGATTTTTACCGTCCATGGCCACGGCAGAGGTTGTTTTCAAAACAATCTCGTCGATATCGTTGTCCTCCTCTTCTTTGGCGCTAAGCTCACTGGCGTTCCCTGATCGTTGCTTGGCCTCCTTACAGACACATGCAGTGAAGATCTCCCCCCGGGTCGTCTCATCGTCATTCTCGGTGGTGGTCTCGTCGGTGTCCGCCTCCTTGCTCTCTACCTTCCCACTAACCTTCTCGATGCCGCCCGTGATGAGGTCGAAGACCAAGGCCAGGAAAGCGAGCCCGCACAATATCCAGGCGGATATGGTGATCTGGTACACCGCCGAGTATTTGACGTCCCTCTGGCTGGCCGCAACGTAGTCTCCAAACCCGATGGTGCTGAGAGACACGAACATGAAGTAAAGAGATCTCAGGTAGTTCCAACCCTCTATGAGCGAAACTGTCAGTGCGGGTAGTATCAGGAACACACACAAACCCAACGTTACGAAGCAGGTGTTGACAATGTTGCGGATAACCTTGGGGTTCCACTGTGGTCTGGACCGTCTGATTTTGTCGGCGATTCGTACAGCAAGCCCGCCCAAACCCTGAGCTATCTTGGCCAGTAGAACAGCCGTCAGAGGGATGCCGAAAGTTCCGTACGCCACGCAGAACGCCTGGCCTCCCTCCGTGTATGGCGCCAGGTTACCGTACCCTATGGTTGTAACCACCGTCACGGAAAAGCTGCAGGCTCCGGAAAAACTCCACTTCGGCGGGGAGTTGTTCTCCTCCGTGCTTCTCGGGTCCAGCCCGCGGCTGACCGCCAGGAGGACGACGTCAATGATGGCGTCCAGTTCGTCTCCGGACAAGCTCATGATCGGCGTTTCTTCTAGTCGGATGCAGGTTTTATTTTCTCTACTTTTCTGATCCAACTCTGCAAGTCTCCGCTTGACCCTTTTCCTGACAGTAGTCTCTATGGCGTCTAATTTGTCAGGCGGGACGCAGCAGGTTACACCCAGCACTCCTTCAGATGGCTCCAGCTCCGTCAAGTTTACCGCATCCACAGGGGTACAGATGTGCTGGAGGTCTTCTTTGTCTTCTCCAGACACGCTTTCTTGAAGCCGGAATACCTGTTGTCTTAGCCTCTCTTCTTCCTCGCTCTCCAAGTAGTGGAACACACACCCACCCAGTAGCAGGTAAATCACGAACAGCAAGCACAGAAGCAGCAACTTCTTTACCCCCATTTTCACGCGTCCTTCTCTATATGTTTCACCACGCTTTACAGGCACGACAGACGAGGAAAGCTCGATTTCCCACCACTGCTTTCTTAAACTTGTGGTTCAAACGATGTCTTGTACCTTACAAGAGCAGAAATATTTTATAGCAACGGCGTAGCGTTGGCGACAGCGGTCCTCTGAGCTACTGTTTCCTTGTTGATCTACCTCCTCACAATGTGCGTAAGTGATGCGTTATTACGTTTACATTCGGAAGAAAGAGAGGTGCAAACAGACTATTGTGACCATCTTCCAACACACGAAAGCACAGGCGGCAAACGTTTTGTCGTTTTATATTGGATGTCACTGAAGACAACCGACTGAGTTTAGGTGCCAAATGCGCTGTCAGTGAGCCTCAAAAAAACCTGTGTTGTTCCCACGGTCAACAATCGCGTCATCGCGTCGTAAGAGGGCAGAATTGGAGGTTTAAAGAAGCATATTGTATGTATATCTTATGCAGGTGAAATGCTAGGAAACAGCTGCTCTCTAAACCCCCACCACAGCATCATTACATAGGAAGTCAATGCTAGCATGTCTTTTAAGACTCTTCTGAACTGTCAATCAAAATTAGAGATTTGGCCAATAGGAGAGTGGTATGTGGTCATGTGATTATGACCTTGACAATGACATCTATCAGAAAGCAACAGATGTTTCTGTTTAGAAAAAATTGTTCACTGACTGCGACTCTGACATATATAAACTAATAAATGCAATGTAATACACACATCTTCACACTCACCTCAAACACTTACATAACATTGTATAAATACACTTAGCACTTATACATCACTACCTTTGTCTAGGTCATAGACAGAGTTAATCAGTAAAACCCATTGGGTTTTTGGCGACACATCAGGAGTGGAGTCATTTTACTATATTAGGATAACTCAGAAAGTCTTTCAATAATTGCACAACTGTATTTCCTGGGGAACAGGTTTTGATGTGACATTAAATTTTCGCAGGGGAGTCACAGAAGTAAAGCCTCTGCTGCTTTGAGTGAAGGTTATGGGACCATTACCTTTTACCTTGTTTTTAAAGAATCAAAAAACACAATTTAACAAGATTCAATACAACACCAGTGTTTAATGTGCCACATGTGTGATATTCCTTAAATCTTCACACCACTGTGTCTACGCCTCCTCCAGTTCCAGCAGAACACCATTACAGTCTTTAGGATGTAGGAACACCACAGGCTTCCCGTGGGCTCCGATCTTTGGCTCAGGGTTCAGGGCACGAATGTGACTGGACGTCAGCTGTTTCACTGCTTCTGTGATGTTATCAACCTGTAGTTATCAAGAACATTATAATCATGATAATGGACATGTACATGTATTTATTAACAGGGCTGATTTGATATAATGGCCTTGTGGCTATGGCAATTGACTTAGAATCTAAAGCCCTCGGTTCGATGTCCAAACTTTGGGCCCTTTCAAAAGGTGCTTTATTTCCAAGTTACCCATTTGCTCAGGTCAAAATTAGCACCTAGCTTTGGTATAAAGCTTTGATAAAAGAGGAGATCCTGTGTTTGAGGAAAGCCAAACCTGAAGCATGGTAATTAAAGAACCCTTCACACTTATTAGGGGCATGTGATTGGATCAAACCTACACTGTATTACTTTGGCCCTAACTTACATGTACCTGTAACTTGTGCTTATGTACATAGGTGGTGTGGTATGCTTGAAAGTGTTCTTTTTAAACAAAACTCACCTCAATACAAATATGATGAATTCCTCCAGCAGCATTCTTCTTCAAAAACCCTTCAATGGGACTTTTTTCCCCAAGAGGATGAAGTAACTGAAATGGCAATCGTCATAAGTGACAATAGTGTAATATCAGACTTGAGTGTGGCTTGTGTTAAAACATACCAGTAATCTTTTAGAAGACCTACTGACTATCATACCAAGTTTAAATCTGGAATTGAAAATATAACACATAGAAAATATAAAATGAGGTTCAGAAATATGTCTCGTACCTCCAGTTTTGTGTTTCCCAGCTCAACAAAGACTGTGTATACACCATGTTCTGGCAATGGCTATAATTCGTATGAAAGACACAGTATTTCAGTACATGATACTCTTACAAGCTGCTAGTCTAGGATCAGACTTGTTACATATGGCAACAGAAGCAATGGGAGAGTTATATAGTTCTGTCAATGGTTAGAGATCTGTGTTCACAAACTCAGTAGAGAAGGTGCTAGTGTTATGGGACCGAACAGCAAGAGTTTCTGTCACACGGACTAGGGCAACACCACAAGTGATTTCGAGGCACTTTTATGATTCCTTTTCTGTTCTCCAGATTGTTGTCTAAGGTTTAGTGAAAATTTCACCCTAAAACTGGTTGTCTACACTTTTCCCTTTTTGCAACCATTAAGTCACAAATTGTCACCCGCTGTAAGTAAAAATGATGACATACGTACCGTAACCTCGCTTACTTTGGCTCCCATGACATCTCTGTACAGGGCTGTTGCATTTTCTACATCAGGACGAAAGGAATCTTTACAAACTTCCAAGACAAATAGTCAAGCTTCCTATACACACACTGTCAATGGTATAGAAACAAAAACAAAATCAGATACTTCTTCTAACCCATATGTTGGACGGTCTGTCCATTAAATATTTAGCAAACATTCACCAGTGATGAGAGGTGATTTACAGAATTTGAAATACACATTGTAATCACCTCCCACCACCTGTTTGCAAGCCTTGTTTGGTCAAGTGAATGGGACAGTTATGAAAACAACAGTTAGAGAGTTGCACTTGTATCAGCAAACAGGACAGTCATGATTTGCACTCTCCCTTGCATGGAGAGAAGTTTAGGAAAGACCCCCCATTGCAGACTTCATGACTGATTTATTGATTTCTCTTTCAAGGTTAGAAAATTACCCCCTAGCAGCCCTGAGGGTGTGTTACAGTATTTACACACTCACAGATCTATTCTGGCACTGAGCATGTTGTGTGCAGGACACCTTTCTGATTCTGAGGACATGAATGTCTAAAAAAATGTACCTAAATTTGGAACAGCGATGGCGACATGGTTCAGTTTTCCAAGACTCCAGAGTCTCTCACTGACTCCCTGCAGAGAAAACAAGGTGAAAAGTATAATCCTTTACTTTTAGACCAGTTCTCTCAGGAAAGAAGATATGAACGAATAGAATCAATGTTACACTCACCTGCAGACCTGTGTATATAGCTTTTTTGACATACTGTGTTATTGAAAATGTATTATTCTTATCAAACCTAAAATTATGCTCTGATAAAAAGGGGAAAACAGTATTTGTATTGAAATCAGCACCATCTTTGCTTTCAGATGCTCCTCAAACCACAGGTTTCCTATGCATATATAGGATAGTTGAAGACGAAATACTACTTTGTCAAATTGTTCAGGTACAGGTGGATATTGGGACCTGTACCTAAACCTCTGTACCTGTACCTGATGTTACTTTTTAGCATGGTTATATAACATGGTTAACGTTCTTACATGTATAATCTCCTTGCTTTCAGGTACACAGCCCTAAACGAGGCTGTTGGAGATAGCAGACCCATAATAGTTTGTGACACTTTCAGTCCCCACACAATAGTACTGTACAGCAGAGGATGTGTCATAACATGAGGATCTAATGTGAGGTTTGCCATCTCTGTTTGCCTGAAGGGCAATATTCTAACTCACCTGTGGAACTGCTCCTGACATTGTTCTGATGCAGGTTGGATATCTCTGCAAAACGCCCTTCTTCTGTGTTCAGAGTTTAAGATAAAAACATAAAACCATAACAAAAACGTTTGATTGCTAGTATATGAGAATATTGACTTCTGCTGAGTTATTTTGCTATGTTAAATCTCCAAGCAGATGTAATGTTTTAACGTTGCGCCTTTTTTGTAGATTCCAAGAAAAATCATTGCCTTTAACTTAAAATTTCATCAATGACACCTATACTTGCATCCTTAGTCTATGAAATCTGCATACAACAACGAAGTTTAACGACAAACCAACGGTGTTATTGTCGAAAGTCTGCGAAGGAAAGTCACAACTGCCGCCATGATGCTTTGGGGTGAAAAGGGTCAAGGTGTCACGCTCACGTGCGCCATCTGGCGACTTCTAGTAAAAACGCATACTGCGAATAAGAAATGTGACCTGCGGCCCTCAGAAAACTAAAGGCAGGCTGAAAAAGCTCAGAGGCTACCTAGTGGGCAGTCTTCCACTGAAGCTACCTATAGATGACGACAAAGGGTGATCAAGGACGTTCTAACTTCTCTGGTGAGCCAAACCACGTTCATGAGAGGTCATGAGACAATATCATGAATATTCATGATATTTTTTGAACGTTAGGCCATGTTTATTTGATTATATGGATGACATCCGCGCGCGCATGAATTTTCGGCCGTTTCAAAAAAAAACGTTTTCAACCATACTGTAAATCGTACAAAACAGTTGCAAAATGAACAAAAATATACCGTAAGTTACAAAAAACCCATACCAATGTCGTAGAATTGCCAAAATCAAACGAAATTGTAAAGAAATGAACTTGAAGACTAGATTATTCGCCAAACCATATTCTGTCCCATTTGTTCAGCCCTCATGACCACGTAGATTTCATAATGGAAACAACTTTTTTTTTGCAAACCTTTTTTTTTATTCGCACGCGCGCATCAATTTTGGGGTTCCCGGAGGATGTCATCCATATAATCAAATCAACATGGCCTTACAAAGAATAGTGTATATTGAAAAGGTGGCCTTCTCAGACCAAAACACACTGTCTTTCTAGTCAATGGTAGGCGTGAACGTGTGTGACATGCACACTCTTGATCAATACATTAGATATATTATAAAGATGATATGATGTGCAGATATATTATCTATATATTTCTACTAGTATTGCCTGTCGAGCTAGTTCCCGACCTCACGCTTTAGACACAATAAATCAGTCCATTGCGCAGATGGTCGACTTGTACATGCATTATTTAGCAGGCTTTGAATGGCGTGGATAGCCTTTGGGACATTACGTTATCACCTCTACAAGGGCAACGAAAAATTAAACAATGACAGATATAGCACTTCTCTATACCCTATTATAGAACTTCATAACCGAAAAAGAGGAATACGTCGTTGATTATTTCAGCCCTCAGTTTCGTGTCTGAGTGTCCTCGGTCTGACAAGCACTGAAGCAGATGCAAGTGTCCATATAATAGATCAGACGTGTAACTTTGGAGGAGGCTAAAGGATTGATTTATGTGGTGTTGACTTTGAATGAAAATGTTTTAGTTTGTAACTATCGCTTGTGATCATTTATGTTGTACTAGTTGTAACAGTGTTTTTTTTTTACATAGTATTTGTGCATTTTGCTGAAGCACGTATCAATGATAGCCAAGAGCAAATATGATTACGTTAGCTCCGTTTCACATGTGTATGTATAATCTGCAGCTTCTTCCAAGTTATTATTGACTCTCAAGTTCCCAAATCCTATATATTTTTTGACTTGAAAACTAAATCTGGACAAAACGCATGACGTAACAGATTTGCCTTCCAACATCTGCTTGGAGATTCGATGCTTCAAGCCTTACTTCAGTTCAAGCATGGAGGTAGAAAATCACTATACCTCCACGGATCAAGTGACGCCCACTATGTTTGTTCTGTAAACGACGCCGACCCATGGCCAGTATTTCAGTTAAGTGACCCGCTCTTCTTTACTAAAAGACGAATGTAAACCCATGTTTACAATGTTTGCTAAAGCCTCCCACTAAAATTCAGAGTTTTTCTCTCGACAGACATGTCATCAGTGCGATCATGCGGGTAGCGATACTGAGGATTTGTTTTCAACTCTGACGTCAATTCGCATAACCATAATCGTTGCACATAACGATATGTAGATTGAGCTTTAATAATCAGGAAAATCTGGGAGAGCAACTTTCTTCAAATTTAGGGTAGTGTTTCTTTCTTTACCCTCAAATGTATTTCCACACTTTATCAATTAACAATCCAGTCATTACCACTTCTAAACAAAAGACTGGTACTTAACGCAACCTGCTTGTCAAGCTGCCTTTGCCATGAGCCCTGGGACATATATATAGGATAAGCAAACGACTCGTGTAGATTTCCATCATCGCAGGCAAGCTTTAGCGACCACGCCTTCTCTTGTCAGAAACCTCCTTCCTTCAATGGTCAAACCACGCACCGGACAAAACGCTGTCATCACGTGAAAAAGAAACCATGTGCTCCTCTCATATATTTCAAATTATGTAAATATTTGGGCAAAAACTGGCGAAAGGCTATGTAAACAAAGCCCTGTGATCGTTTGTTTATTTGAACCTACACGTGCTTCTATGGTGCTTCTCTTCCAAAAGTGGGCAAACTAAGTGGGTGTGATTTGCGCGGGAAACCCACGCTACCAGGTATGATAATTAGGTTGACCCCACCGCTGATTGGACCATTGTGATCACGTGACCCACGCTTTGGAAGGCGAGGTCTCAGATGAAAGAGGAGGGGTAGCGAAAGTGACAATAGATTTGTCTATATTCTCGTCGCATCGTTCCCGAATTTCACCATGTCTCGACGGTCGCAGAAGCTAACGCAGAAGACGGTGGTCACCGAGACCACCACCAGCTCGGTCTCCACCCCGAAGGTGACCAAGCAGGTTCAGGAAGCCTTCGTAACGCAGCTCAGCCCCACGCGGCTCACTCGTATGCAGGAGAAGCAAGAGCTTCAATGGCTAAACGACCGGCTCGCTCAGTACATCGACCGGGTGCGCTACCTCGAGGCGGAGAACTCCCGCCTTATGGTCCAGGTAACGTCTTCCGAGGAGATCACTCAACGGGAGGTGACCAACATCAAGTCCATGTTCGAGCAAGAGCTGACCGACGCCCGCAAGTTACTCGACGACACCGCCAAGGAGAAAGCGCGCGTCCAGATCGAAGCCGGCAAATATCGCGCCGAAGCCGACGAGCTGAGGGCCAAGTGAGTACGGTTTCCTCTTAAAATTGTCACCAAACCACTCCCACTAAAATCTACACTAATGTAGCCCCGTTTAAGGGCTTCTGTGATGACGTATAGCAGCGTGTGTCGACTTGGGTGTATTTTTGACATTTGGTGTGCCGCCATTTTGAAGTAGCATGGCCATGGGTTCGACCTGCAACATGCGCGCTCTAGCAGCTGCTACATGTGTAGCAATCTGCCCTTGTCATGCTGATATCCAGGCACGCCTACAACCATGGTTTTAACCCTTCAGAGCAGTAAGCACTCCGATATTGACGTGGACTTAAGTAAACTGAGCTAAGAGACCCCCTGCATGTGACCTAGTTAAAAGCAAGAAGTGTCACAAAAATTCCACAAATAAGACAAGGAGATCAAAGGATGAAGAACAGTCTAAAGTAGTATGTTTTGTGTACATCAGCCCCAACAAAACAAAAGAAGTCTTAGAATATGTGAAATCGTTACATAATAACATTTTATTTTAATCAATATTTTGATACTTGGTGATATTTTATGCTACTAGTAATAGTAGTAGTATTCGTCATATTGAGTTGTATACTGTGTAATAAGTGAGGCGTACTTTCATGTATTATGTGAATTATGTGAGTGAAACGTATTTCAGCCTGATGGCTGCGATGTTTTACATAATAAACCAGCCATTCATATAATAAAGAGCCCTTTTTACCAGTGCTAATTGCTATTGCTAAGCAAATTTTTAATGAGAAAAATGGAAAATAATGGGATCAAAATCCTGTCTTTTCAAAAATTTCATTACTAGTATATTTTTGAGCTCATTTCAGTGACTTTTTTATTAATTCAGTTTTTGGCAGCACACATCTCTAGCTCGTTGCAGCTGTGAGTTGTAAATACCAAACTGTGAGCCGCAGTAGACAGATGCCAACTGTCAGGGCACATTCTCTATGGTGTAAAAGACTGGGTCACAGACTACCTGTGTATTGTTGTGCAGTGACCGCAACCCCCACAACTAGTTCAGACCTGTAAGTCGGTTACTTGATACAGAGGCAAACAAAGAACGAGACGCTCTTATTTCAACTGTTAGTACCCATGTAATGGGCAACTATGTGTACCGATTGGGTGACCCAACTCTCAAAAAGAAAAATTTAATTGGTCTAAAAAAGCGTCAAATCCTTCCTACTATTAGTTAATGTGATATATTAACAGCTTCTATTTTCTTCAGTCCACAGGCTTCGTGTGAAATGCTATTCATATAGTTTGAATTTGATTCAAATTTTTTTCTTTAAAAACTCACACAAACTGTTTCATAGGTGGATGGTAGAACTTAGCTAATTTTGTTGATAGATGTTGCCTGGAGGGACATACTTTGAATTCCATGCATTGTTAACTTTCATCAGAAATTCTGCTGCAAATGACATAATCTAGTCACCCACCCACCCATTTCTTCCATGTTATAAGTTTAACTTTATTGGATAGGCAGTCTGTGCCACTTCTAATAATCCTGCCCCTCCCTCCAGACTTGTGCAGGCTGAAACATGACATGTTTTCCAGCTGTCCCATGGTTCCTGTTACTTTGACCAGAAGCTGTATGTGGGCACTTCTGTCATAAGGTTCTATTTAGCTGCCGCACTGTGAAAGGTCCTGGGCTGGAGTGTGGGAAGTTGGTTCTGTGGTCATTTGGTGACAAGCATGATCATGTACTCTTGATGTCTTGGCCATGATTCATTTCCGTAACTTATTAAGAAGGAAACAATAAAAGATCAGGTTGTAGTTCAAAGGTACAGCTTATTAGAGGCAGAATTAGTATTCAAATGGAACGAAAAATAGCAAAAATACACATTATTCTGATGAGTCAGCAGCACAGTTTGTGTGACAGTGATATCTGTCACACACAAGCATGATGTAAACCAGCTCAGTTATTTGTTAATCATCTAAGATATCTTTAAGAACATGTTTTCCACAAGATCTATCTCCTAGGAGACCAGTCAGGCAGGGTACTTAATGAAGATAAGAAAGTTGACATTTCCGAGACTGTTTGTTGTTAAGGAGTGATTTTATTGCTCGGTATATTTAGACTGAAAGGGACAGGTAAACAGGTACACATTTACTTGATTTAGAAATGTTGCTCATGACAAAAGCATTGCTGTTTTATATTGTGTTTATGGAGAAAATATAGAGCTCCCTAAGAACGTATATGATGCTACTTTGATAGAACTGGTCTTTTGGCATAACTTCTCTTATTGGAGAATGAATGTTGTAACCGTATGTGGGACAGTTGCCAAGGACAGTTGAACTTCTGGGGTCAGGCTACATTATTCTTCTTGGTGATGGTAGGGCTGATACTTGGTCCTCTTCTGGGGTCACTTGTGTTGAAAAGAAATTAGAACCGTAGCCTACACATTCTGCAGTAAAGTACTGGGATTATAATTTATATGTGTCTGAAATTGGTGGTGGTGCTTTGTATTTGAGAAGAACATTTCATTTTTACAGTATTTCACCAAGTAGAATCTAGATGGAAGTTTTATCTGCAACGGTGAACCAGTCATATGTGGCATATGATAGTTTAAACTTTCATAAGCAAACTTTTTGTTTCTTATGCCTTTACTTATACATAGAGGTGTAAGGTATGATACTACAAAGCATTGGTAAATAGAACTGTCAACAGGACATTTTGTATGAATTGTGGATAGATATTTTTGACACATCACACGTAAGAGAGATGATAATGCAGTGATTTACAAAAGTGTCCTTTGTGAGGGATGGGTACACCTGGCAAATTGGAAGGTGGGGTTCAAGCCTTTGTTGTGATGGCCATATTGCTAATTGTCTGCAGTAACCTATTGTCTGCCAAACCTGTACACCTGTCCTCGTGGTAGATGTATTCAACAATATCAGAAGAAATATGGTGAATTATCAAACTATGGATCTAAGTATGTTATTTTGTTATATTGTATATGTGCAGTGTCTACCACAAAGATGAAAATTTAGCACTGAATTAAGATGAAAACATTGTAAGCCATTGAATTTCAAGCTAATATCAAATTCAAAGCAGATGCAGGCTCTTTCTCAGTGTTTTACACCTGCATTTATAACCTTCTAGTGTTGTATTTCTTTGACAGTATTAGGAAGAACAGAACTGAGAACATTCTTTGAGATAATCTTGTGACAGGGTGTGCATTCTCAGACAGACCACAAGTTACCCAGCTCTGTACAGCCAACGGTGAACCTAAACTTAGTTTTATTGGAAGAATGTTTTTCAGTTGCTCTTGACCTTTGCAGCATACCTAACATTTGCATCTAATTGTCTCCCTGGTTTGTTTCTATGTTGGCATGGCAACCACTGAACGAATGAAATCCAATCTTGGTGACCACACCCATCAGCACAAGTTGAGGTTAGACTAAGAGTAAGAAGTTCAGTACCATAGAGACCAAAGGCCAAGTTACATATTTACTTGTGTTCCACACAGTTGTATCTGTGTGATTACTTTAGAGTGCTATGCTGGTGTAGCTTTGAAATATTACTGGTTTTGGCTTACTTGAGCATAAATTTTTGCAAGAGATACTTGTATGTGTGATCAAACTCTTATCTGTTTAACTCATACAGATGCCTTACTTACAAGTTCCATAAGCAGTCCAGTCAGTAAGACTTAAATTTACTATTGAATGGGCAGTGACAAAGTTGTTCCAAGCAGGTGGGTTATGTTTTTTACCATCAAAGACGGTCCATTTTGCGTGGGTTGTTAGGCTGTCTGGGATGGCCTGAGTAAACACAGTAGTTAGTTTGGCTTGCTTTGTACATACCTGCATGTACCACACCCGTTTGTACACCTTTTGATTTGCTTCCACATACTGTAAATCTTGAAATGTTTAGGGGTAGTATTATTTTCACAAGTCACGACACTGTGAAAATGTTTTAAGAAAAAAACTTCTTGCTGTGTTGCTACTCACAATTGTACTGTAGCTGGTTTCCGCTCTTACTGCAAAATTAAATATTGGGAATAAGTTCCAGGTTCAGCAAATTAAATCACCCAGCCAATGAATACTGTTGAAGTAATGGTAGGGACTTCAAATGGAAAGATGATTTTAACTTTTGTATTCCAATGTATATATTATGCCGTATTCTATAGAAAATTTCCTTCTTTGTCACTTAAAGGGAATAATTGAAGATGTGTTGACTCTTGGCACCGAAATGGGTAAATTGACAGAAGGAGCAGTGCCAGATGTGCATGGATCAAGTCCCTTGTTTTGGGCTGACATCTGAAATTGTTCTATTGGGCTATTCTAGTCTTTTCAGATCTTCAGAACATGCTTGTGGAAGTTGTGCATCATACAAAAGAGGCACCTAGTGACCAAAATCAACACTGCAATGGTGCAAACGGGAGCAACCCCAAACGTTTATTGACTTACATACCTCAGATATTGCTTGTTTCAGAGGAGAGAAAATAATTAACTAAGAGGACAAGGTAGCATTGAAAGGTGTTAAAGAAGAGTGTTGCTTGGCATGATCTAGAAACTCCTGTGCAAATCACACAAACCTTCGTATGTTGATGGATAAGGTTAGACCATAACATCACATGAGATCATGTGTCAGACCACATGAAGTCAGAGGCCAGAGCAAGGGGTATAACCTATCCTGTCAGCTATCTGTGGAATGGCACAAGGCGTCCCTGTCCTCAATGGGGTGTTACAATTGGGGACACTGTGGAAAGGGGTCCTTTGAGGCCAACCTGTATGTAATTGTTGAATGCAAGTATTCCTGGTTTTGTCTGTAATATAACTTGTGCAATATTGCAACAAAAAAATGCATGCTTTATCCATCTTACCCAGTGGAACTGCAAGAGTGCTTGTCATATGCAGCAATTCAATAAAACATGATATTCTACAATAATGTTACCTTATTTGGACTCAATGAATGTTAAACTACATCTGTCTGTGAAGAACAAACATGATGTCCATCACATCATTAGCCAATCATTGCTTTTCGTATGCTAGTGTTAGGTATAGCAGAAAAGATTGAAGTCTAATGATGGTATTATTTACACAACATATGCAGGACTACTCAAGCCATGGAGTTAGAAATGAGACAGTGGTGTTGATGTAACTCTTTGCCCACTGATGTGATTATAGTATAGCAGCTGTTATTCCAACATTCATTGCGACCAACAAATAAAGATGTGTCTATAATCCCTAGGGTGATCTTTTGAATCTATAGAACAACCTGTTTGGTCTTTTGTTCACCAAAACTGAGCATATGCATGGCTGCTTTTGTTATATGTGGCCTGACAAGCTATAGGGGTGGCCAGAGGGTCGCAACCCTGTGCATAACCCATCCCACCCCACCCTTACGTAGGAGGTTGAGTTAGGACTCGAATGATACCAGTAGCTCACTGAGAAATTGTGAGGTAGATAGCATCAACAGTATCATCATGCCAATCAGTCCAGGTAGCAGTACTAGAAATTACCACACTAGGCAAAGTCACAATGGAACTGGCTTGAAGTCCCCAGAATTAGGAAAGGGGAAAAGCTCCAAGTAAGTTGTCTGTTGGGTTAAGTACATAATGGTTGGTTATCCTGCCATGTTAATTTTCTGGGGCATGGTTTGATGCAAATTTGTTAACCCTTTTCCCCCTTGTATGCCTTGGCTAAAAGGGTTATAAAGGACATAATAAATGTTGCTGTGTTGGTAAATTAGGTATAAATACTGTTATCAACAGTGGAATTAGGTCCGTACAAGCTTAATTGTATTATAATATTCTTATTACCACCTGTCTTTCCAGGCTTGCCAAAAGTGAGGGTGCTCTCGCCACGGCAGAGAAGAAACGTCACCAGGCAGAAAGCGCTCTTAATGAGAAGGAGGGGCGTCTGCAAAATGCTATCGCTGACAAGCAGAGGGCTGAGGGGGAGCTGGCCGCACTTCGCCTGGAGTTCGCCAACCTGGAGAAACAGTTAGCAACGGCACGGAAGCAGCTGGAGGAGGAGACTCTACTGCGTGTGGACCTGGAGAACAAGGTGCAGACCCTGAGGGAGGAGGTCGAGTTTAACAAGCAGGTGTACGAACAGGTGAGTTACTGTTTTTGGTCTTTCTTTACTCAGCAAGTTCACAACATCTAACTCTGATAAGATAATAGTGTATATATGGATGAGTTTGAATATAAAATTTCTAAAGATAAGGTAAAGTAAATGTCTATTTGATGCCCTCTTAGGAGCTGACAGAGTCCCGCAGCAGGAAGGAAGTTAGCATCACAGAGGTGGATGCAGGAGAGGCAGCTTTCGAGAGCCGTCTCCAGGAGGCTCTACGTGAGATGAGGGAACAACATGAACTGGAGGCCAGGGCCATGAGGGAGGAGCTGGAGACCATGTACACCCAGAAGGTAAGTACTGTCAATCAGCTCAAGTGTTTCCACTTAGGTATACATATGCCTCCCAGTTACATGAATGTCAGAAAGATAAATGCTGTAGTTTCTACAGTTTTGAGTACCTACACCTTCTGTCTTGTTTGATTACAGATCACGTCTATGAAGACTGACTCGGAGCGTGGCAGCAACGCCCTGTCTGTGGCCCGTGAGGAGATGAGGGAGAGCCGTGCTCGCATTGACAGCCTCATGTCCCAGGTTAGCGGCCTCCAGGGACAGGTATGAAACACACTTTCATCATTCTACTGTAATACTTCAAGTCACCTTGAGTTGTAACTTGCTGTAAGACTGCTGCAATCCTGTGAAACATCTCTTTAAAAATTCCTGATTGTTTACGAAGACTTTCTACCACATAATATTCTGATAAAAGACAACTGCAAGGTTGTACTTAATTGTCAGATAACCAATTATAATCATAACGCATGTGTCCTTTATATTGTGTATCTTGTTTGAAAGAGTTACTAGGTTTAGAAATAAACAAAAATTTTAACTAATGTTAAACAGATAAGCATTAACATTCTTCATTTTCTTATGTTGAAAACTAGAATGCCTCTCTGGAAGCTCGCTGTAAAGAGCTGGAAGGAATGATGGCGCGCATGTCAGAAGAAAGCCGGTCCTCCGCAGAGCAGTACGAGCGGGAGATCCGCCAGCTGCGAGAGGAGATCTCGCAGATGTTGGTGGATTACCAGGAACTGATGGACATCAAGATCGCGCTGGATCTGGAGATCAGCGCCTACAGGACCCTACTGGAGGGGAGAGGAACAGAGGTAGGGGTGGCACACAGGGGTCCACACACAAGGAAACATGTACAATATCATGTATTGTTGCCAGTAGAAAGTTTTTGTATATACTGCTTCAACACCTTATGTTGAAAGACAATGACTGTGAGGTTTTGATACGCAGTGTTTCTGATGGCAAACTGTGGTGCGATGCCACCTTGCAATTGACATGGGAATTGCAGGAATGGCTGTAGCCAAAGCTTTCTCAGACTAATTACCTGAGAGAAAAATGGCATCTAAGAATACAAAAAACATTTTGTTTTCATCATACTATAGATTTTAAGAATATATATGGTCGATACATTTATTACAAAAGGCTGAACACAATAAATATGATACTAATATGAATACTGATAACCTGTGCAAAACTCTGATAAAGGTTACTTAGTCTGCTATGAGAAAGCTGGTAAGTATTTGTGACATTTTGCTTACAAAAACCTGTTAGAAATGTAATGCCAAGGATATTGAAAGTTATGCATATTTATTAAAGATTATTTTGTAAAGATTTAATTTGAAGCCAAAATATGAAATGACATACAGCTGTTCTGATGCTTGTTAAGATTCCGTGAAAATGAAATTGTGTACTTTTCTAATAACCTATATAGTACTCTTGTTAGATTTAAAACTGGGTTACTTTGTTGTTTTTGTTTTGTAAAATGTTGTTGTTGTTTATCTGGTCAGGTTGAAGCTGACCCCGACGCCGTCCCCTACGGGCCGCACACGCAGCGTGGTGCAGGAGTCCAGGAAGACCACGGTCACCTCCTCATCTTCTGGCTCTAGCAGGTCATACAACACCCCTTCTCATTAACCCCCTTCCCCAATACAACACCCCCTTCTGATTAAATAGTAGATGCTATTTTTAGACTTTCAACTTTTAGATAATTTTTACTATTGAGCTCTTGGCTTTCAGTTTGTAAATCAAGATGACAATTAACTATAAAAAAAAGACACCTGTCCATATGTACATGTATAAGTTACAAAGGATTAGCCAGACTTGATTAGGTTCTGGACTAAGTCTGGACATGCACCTAAAAATCTGTACACTGCTCAAATAATTCTAACCATTTTACATCCCACACTTCCAGGGGCAGGACCAGTAAGAGGAAGCGTGTTGAGATGGAGTCGGAGGAGTCAGGGTCGTCCTCCGGAGCCGTGGCGGTGGGCGGTGTGAGCGGCAGTGCCAGCGCCATGGTCACTCAGAGTGCCACGGCCTCAGGCTTCATCACCATCGATGAGGTGGACTTGGAAGGGAAGTTCGTCAAGCTACAGAACACATCGGCTGAAAAGGTAGGCAGTTTAACTTGCCAGCATTTTCTGAACTATTCTCTTGTTACTCTTTACTTACCATTACTTCATATGGAGATGTCAGACACCTTTGAAAATACTGATATTTTACTGTTCATGTTAGTCTTTATCCCTCATGATAATGATCTTGCTTGCCACCTGCTGTCAATAGTGCCCCACATCTCCCAGCATGTTGTGGGACCTGTGAAAGGTCTTTGTAGATATCTGGCCCAGGCCATATGAAAACCTCTTTGCATTGATGTTTTCTTCATCCCAGCTTTACAAAAAAATCAACTTTATGTAAAATAATGTAAAATTTGCCTCCTATTTGGTAAGACAGACCTCTCCTGATTATTTGTGTTGTGCTACAGGACATGAGCATGGGTGGATGGCTGCTGAAGAGGACTGTGGGAGGTGGGGATGAGATCTCCTACAAGTTCCCCTCCAGATATGTGCTGAAGGCCGGCCAGTCTGTCACGGTAGGTTTTGTTCTGTTAGAGCTGAAAGGCACTTTTTCAAACTAGTCTTTGGAAGGAAATTGTCTGTTCCTAAACCCTTGCCTGTAGCTATTCTAGGGCTGGAAATGCCAGCTGCATATGCAGGAACTTGTGGCAGTACATTTTTGATGTTCACTAGCAAGTTGCAACTAACTCACACTGGTTCATGTGCTAAGTATTTGTTTGTTCCCAAACATTCTTAACACAGTTTACAGGTGCATTCTCAAATCCATTTTTCCAACATATTTAAGATGTAACATTCTGCCAGGTAAACCTTTTGGTGGTCTTAAAGGGAAAGAAAATAAATGGTGTAAGTGAAATGTATGTTGCCCATACTCTTCAAGCAAGCAGAAGGTTTAGGCTTCAATTTTCTTTATATGTAATATGAATTTGAATATTACCTGCACCTCTACTCATTTTATTTTGAGTCAGCTGTACAAGTGTCCCAAGGGAACGGCTAGTTATTTGAAAACAACCTTCAGACTACTCTAGCAACAAGGCCACATTATGCAATGTATAAGTTATATGATTTCCTGTAGTTGTGTAATATCCTGTAGTGTTATTCCCTGAGGGCATTAACAAGACAATGTTTTTCGATGTTTAGGTCTGGGCAACTGAAGGTGGTGGCTCTCACAGCCCTCCCTCAGACTTGTTGTTCCGTGGCCAGGCTTCTTGGGGCAGCGGAGACGACACCAAGACACTTCTTGTCAACGACAGTGGAGAGGTGACTCATCTATACTTCCTTATAGTTCCCATCTATCTTCCTCCTACAATTTACATTATCCTTCAGTTCCCATGACATGCTTTTATGTTGTCATTTTTATCTATTCCATTTTCTATCTGTATTTGATGTTTCTTTCTGGGTGGAGGTGCAAAGATATCCCGCAGTCCATCCTAACTCTAGCTCCAGTGCACTCCCCTGGTCACTTCCACGCAGAATGGTGTGGCACCCATTCCCATCGAAGCATTTAATCCTTACCTCATGCATTATTTCGGGAATCAAATATTTCTGGGAAAATGTGTAAGGGTGATTGGACTTCCAACTGCTTCTTACCATGCCATTACAAGGACTTTGTGTCTCAAGGCTAATCAGAGCTCTTGCCAATATTTCAGGGTAATTATCAAATGCCAATCATTTCTGTATTAACAGGTGCCTGACTAATTGGCAAAGGAAGTGATCAGTGAAGTGAACTGGAGCTGAAACAGGATGGATACCAGGCTAGAACCTGCACATATAGTATGTCGGAGCAGGACTTTCAAATGCCATCATGAATATTTTCATGCAGAGATGTGCTGACAATGCTACTGTTGAATGGATTGAAATGATATGTAACCATATTTTGGTCCCAACCCCACAGGAGTATGCTTTTCGCTCGGTCACCAAAATTGGAGGCTGCGGTGAGGCAAGCAGTGGGTATTCTGGACGTCGCAAGGTCGCCAGTTAATCGGGACTAGTTCCTTGCCTTGCTTTTGTCATCTGTTTAAGTTCCACGTTTGCTTAGCCCTGACTTAATATGTCATTGCACATACCTCTCAGAACAACACCTTAATCAAGACAATATCAAAATACTGCAGACGTTTACCAATGTTTTTCTGATGAGAAAGAAAGCAGGTTTTCTCTAAAAATGATTAGTAGCAAAGAAGTTGTATCTCACATCTGGTCCACAAATGATTACCAAAACATGAAAGTGGGATTAAGGGTCATTTGTCTGGTGGATGACACTGCAAAAAATCCCTCTTTAAAGCTTTTGTTAGATCTTTAAGCTGAGAGAAGTTGTTGTTTTTGGTATTAAATCAGTTGCTTTGTAGTATGGAAGAATATTAACAAGGTAAGGTGTTTGCAATGACAGCTTGTAGCCTGGGCAAATGACCAGTCCATTTTTCCTACAGTTATAGCAGCTGAATGTGTAGAGGCACGGCAGACATCAATGCATGGCTGACTTTCACTTTTTCCTTCTGCTTTTTCCTTGTCTTTTGTTGCTTTGTGTTACTCTGATGGTGACAGAGAACTCTACCGATGTTGGGTGATCCCACAGGCCTCCAGACTCATTTATCTAATGCCAGTGGCTCGTCTGTTTTACAGAACAGTCAGGGCTAAAAAGAAACAAGCCAAATTCAAGAAAACAGCCCAAATTCTAGTCACCTATTCCTTCACAGTCTGGAGGCTTATGTTGCCTAATTGATTTGCTTTCAAATTGTTACTATTGTGTTAACAGGCTGTATAGTAGGAGATGTATGTAGTGATTAATGAGTAAATAATTGCCATTTAGTTTCTAGTTATTGGTGGCTTTGCTTCAGCTTCATAAAATGCTTACAGATATGTCCCATGAAATGCACTTATTATAAATTGGCTGAAGTATATTCTATAAGCTGTATTTTGATTAGTTTGTGTCATATCTTCCTTGAAAATTGAATGAATTTTTAACAAAGGTAGCAGTATGTAGCCAGGAGCTAGCTGGGTAATGCATATAGTAAGCAATCCTTACTTGTTGCTTTATACTAGTTAAATAATGGCTGATGCTTGTTAGACTGAAGTTTTCTACAGACCTGTCTCAGACCTGCCACATGTAGCAGTTATTTTTCACTTACAGATTGATTGATTGATTGTATGTGTAGCTACATATTACTAACAAACTTCTCATGTCTATAGGAGATGGCAACGAGGTCAGTGACCCGCGTGGCCAGCTCAGGCTTCTCCAGCACCAGCGGGGGTACCTTTGTTGAGGTAGGCCAGGAAGAACTCTTTCACCAACAGGTATTCAAGATCCTGGCTTTCTACATGCTCAGGGACCCCTTAAAAACACATTTGATTTCTATTAGTCCTTGAAACACCATTTTTTTTATAGTTACTATAAATCTCCCAGTACTTATCTCTTTGTCAGAGACACTGTCATCCTGAAAGAAGTACATTTGTACAGTTCTGGTTAGAATTGTGTATTATCTATCAAAGAGCTATGGGGCCATAAATGGCAAACATCATTTCCAGCGCACCACTAGTAAAAGCTATTATACAACCATCTTCTTTTCTGGTGCAGAAATTGGTACCTTTCAATAGAGTCTTTAAAAAATCCCATTGCATGCTGGGAGCTACATGACATCATGGGTAACTCAAGGCAAGCAAGTTATGATCATGGAACCATGTAAGGATGATGTTGATGTTGTTCAGAACAATCTTGGTGTTTTCATTAAAGGACACTTGGTGTAGACTACTTCCCATTAAACTAAAAGGAACAAAACTTTGGCACAGTCATTAGTTCTTAAAAGTGCGCCAAATTTTGTTCCTCTTATTCTTTGGGAAATTAGTCTACAAAAACTTGAATGAACACACCAAAGTTTCAGAATCCAGATGGTCACTCTACCAGCTGTAAAAGAGATTTAATGTAAATTTGTTGTTAAGACATTAACATGCCTCCCACACAAACTGGATATGGGCCAGTGGAAATCTTTATTGAACAGCCCTTGTATGTCTAAGTCTATGCTGTGAGATGATTTGTGTTACACCCAATCAGATTAAACCACCCCACACCCATGTTGTTTTCTGACTCCTTGTTACCTTGCAGGGTGACCCAGCCAGCCCCAGACAGCGCTGCAGCATCATGTGATGACAGCGGAGACTGTGATGTCACTACAGTCTGGAATATGGTATACTTGTATACTGGATCCATTTTTTATTATTATTTTTTTAGTCAACTTAAATAGCGATAAATAGAACATTGTTCATCTCTCTCTCTCACAGAAGTGATTCCAGGTGTTCACGTCCACTATTCTCATTGACATGAACATACATATTGTGGATTTTTATATGCAAAATTTGGAAAGATTGTATGTACATTTGAAAGATTTGTAACCAAATGATTGTCTGAAGTAAATTACAAAGCACTAACTTAAGCAATTCTGGTGTTTGAGGCAGAATATTTCTACCATTTTTCCAACCAGTTTTCAAAAATCGATGTGATCTTGCCATTATTGTACTCTGTGAGGGGTGGTATGGACGCCAATAGTTTTTGCTTGGAAAACAGTTAAACGTCTTTGTTCTTATACTTTATAGTAGAGTCATGAAAGCAGGTATCTTACAGCTGTGCAATTATTCCTAGTGCTTCTGTTTTGTACTATCAGACATTCAGACCACGAGGACCAAGTTTCTTGTCATCTCACTGTAAAATGCGTCTACAACAAGCAGTCATTGCAGGTTGCATGCTTTTCGCAATGCAAGCATAGTTTGTGTCCAGTAGCATGCATCTTTTTTATTAAGCGTTTCATAGCTATAAGTGGACATGTGCAAATTTTCCCATCCTTTCAAGTTCTTTCACAATAATAGCAGTGGTTGTACTGTATGTATAGAAAAGCAGTGATTTGAGCCATTTAGAACTAGAGATCATTGGTCAAACATACATGCTATGGCACATAATTTTTGTCCAGTTGATCCAGCTAAAAATTAGTTGCTATACTGGTAGTCCCTGATTACCATGTACTTAGGGAGTGCTACTCTATGTGCAGTGAAGATGCAAAAACCAAAGTATGATAACTAAGGTGTTAGGGTAGGGATGGGGTTGTCTGTGGCTCTTTGTATGAGGATATGTAAGGATGCATTTTGTAGGGTTGTGGTAGTCTGAGCCTTGTAGTTTTGGCTTATAGAGAAGGGACTTTTGTATTATATCTTGATACTGTGGAGCTTTTCCTCTTAGATTATGAAGGTAATATGCATAAATTTGTGTGATAATCAGCATCTAGGAAGTGATAATTTTTTAAAGCTTCTATATCCCAAGTTATGCATGCTTTATTAGTAATCTTGTTATTAGAATAATTTTCAAGAATTATCCAATGATTACAACTTGTTTTTGTACTGCGTAGAAACTATAGGTACTTATTTTTCATATTTAATGGTGCAGTGTATTGTGCAGATGTGCATGCTTTGTATTTCTTCCTAAGCCACAATGTTACTTAGTTACTAATGTCAGCATCACTATTAACCACAGTGTACCAAATAAAATCCCCAACAGGTTTCCTGTCATAACTCTGCATTTTTTAAAAGACATTTTGTATTGTGAAGAAAAACTTAGTCAAAATTGTCTCATTTTTTCTTAGGAAGTCATGACTTGTGGCCTTAGAATTTGAAAAACCATTCCATGTTTAGACCAGAAGTTTGTGCAATGATAGTGTGGTGAAGAGGATTTTACCCCTCTCACTGTCATCTGGCTCTTGAGTTGTGGGTTGTCACGGAAAATTGGATGCACACAAAACCTCTTAGACATGATAGAGTGCAAGCTGATGAAAAGTGTCCACATATCGTAACAGAATGATTACATATGAGGGAATCATGCAGAAGTTGTGACAGGAAATGTGTGCTGGCAGCTTCTTTACTAATTTGTATGGTTTAAAAGGCAAATAAACCAAGTATTTTAAGAAAAGTTCAGACCTTGTTGCTATGTCTGAGTTATTATTAACAATCCTAATTAATTTCTGTTTGGAAGAACCATTCAGAATGAAAAACCACATCTGTGCCACAGGTTACTTTAAATTTTCAGTACAGTTAACAATCAAGAGTTTGTGTTTGAACCAACTTAAACAGATGTTTACATTGTGATGAATTAGCTAAGTGTGAATGTAAAAGTTTGGGAAAAATTAAAACGTTTGCCATAAACTGTCTAGGGGTCTCAGAATGATAACATGATAACAAATGGATGTGCCTGTGCCCTCGTGTATGATAAAGTACCAGACAATTTACTTGCAGTAGTAGATAGGTTCAGCAGATTATCACTTTGCTATATTTGGTACATGTTCCAACATGATCATTTTCGAGAAAAGCTAGATCTGAATATGTAAGAATTTGACATGACCCAAAAAAAGTCAGGTGCTGAAATGTGTGCTTGTGTAAGCTGTACAAGGCTGCTGAAAACTGGTGGATGAGTCTAGCACTTCATCTGGTATATGCCTCAACATCAGACTGCAAAGCAATTACCGGTATCAGCTAATTGACTGGCTTAAGTGGTCAGTGACTGCATGTTTCACCATATGGATGAAGCATGAATCATGAGGAATGTCTGAGCCCAGCTCAGCATGGCTGTTGGGAGTTACATTTGTCTGGAGGGAGATTTCAAGCATGTCGCCCAGTGTATTGTGGAGCTTCAGGTGTCATTTCTGCACGTTAAGGAACCCAACACACTGAAAAGAATAGGGTCAACGTATACTTGACTTAAAATGTGAGTCTTGGTGAGCCCTCATTGTACTTAAGTAGATGTAGCTGCCATAAAAAGCATTACTCCTCACTTAAAGAAGAAAGTCAAACAGTAGCACAAAAAGTGAGCAAAACACATTTTTTTTCACAAGCAGTTTCTATTAGCCAGGAAAATTGTTATTAAAGTCACTCTCCTGATATGTACACACACCCTATATTAAACCTTCATCATATGATCCATTTGCACACAGTTAAACCTACAAAATGTATATTAGTAAACATTGTGGAACTCGTAAATGCAACACCAGGCTTTAAGACAGGCTACAGGTTGCTACCACTATTGGTGCCAATAGTTTGAGTTTCTCATGATATGACATGATAATATTAATAGTACCAGCCACAAGGTTTGAGTCAGTCCAACTTGTTTTGTCCATGGCCATTTTCTCAGAGCCCATTGAATGCTAAAAGATGCAGACACTATGGCTAGCTTGGGACAAACAGTATCATCACCATGGCTACAAACAACATCAATACCATAACAACAAACAACGTCATTGCCATGATAACATGAAACAAATTTCAGATTCATGTTTGGTAATAAAATGTTATTTTGTTTGCCCCCACTACCCACAGTGCTCTGTATCTCCTGGAATACAATGGGATCTGTGAAAAGGTCTGTTTCAGGGGCTGGTTGTCACTTAGTTATTGCTTCTATAGAATAATTCTGGCACATGCATTATTCAGAAATAAACAAATTCTGACAATTAGTAGCCAATTCAAAAGCCTGGTGAGTACAGTAGATAACAATACTGGGCCATTACATGGCAAACTATGTCAACAATCACAGGTTCAGCCTTTTTTTTTTCAAATTTTCTCAACAGCATGCTACTTAAATCAAGAACAACATTTAAAATGGCACATCAGTTCCTTAGTTGTTGTTTACTGTGGTCTGTGGTAAAATGTGATTCATACTATAAAAGTACTTAGTAGTACTTCTATAGTACTTACTATGCTCGTAGCCAGGGGTTAAAGGTCCACTTTTTATCTTAAGGTCCACTTTTTATCTTAAGGTCCAAGATTTGTTTCACCAGCGGGGCTGGAATCCTAGAAAAGCTGCTCACTTTGTCTTTGAATACATAAAAAGTTACCTCTGATTTTTCCATTGAAATACTCTCAAAAACTCAGGAAATGCCATTTCAGAAGGTTCAATTTTGCGCAAATTTTATGGCGGAGCATTCCTTGGACCCCCCTAAGAACCTTGCGTCTCTGGCACTCGCCTCGTGCCAACTGTGCTTGCTGGTCCCTCAGACAGTGGGAAGAAACCCCCCCCTTCAAAATCCTGGCTACGGGCATGCTTACAGTTAAATGGGAGAAATTCCCTACATTTTGTAAGGCTGTAATGTGAAATATATGTATGCAGTACAACACAGTCTTTTGTTGTTATATATTATTACACACAATTTAATAGCAGCAAATATGGCATCAATAACAATTAGAATATTTAGAATACGTACTAATCAATATCAATCTTTCTTTGTAGTCTTTTTTGACTAAAATATTTTAGTTGTCATAAATGGGACCGGGAAGACCATAGGTCTGTAAATGACCCTTTCCATGGAGATTTGGGTGAGAAATTGGAAGGAATATATGAAAAAAATTTGTATCCTGAAATTGTAGAAATTGTGAAAATATAGATTTTTAGCAAGACATTTTCTTGTATGCCTCCTTCCAAAGCTTTCAGGTTGACTGACACATGGGACTGATTACAAATAGTTTGCATTTAAACATGGATGATGCTAGCAGTTCTGTGCGCTGAGTGGTGCATTTCTAAACATTGAAATGCACAGATTATAGTCCAGAGACTTCTTATGAAACAAAGGCTACAAAAGATAGTATGAAATTACAATGAAAACATTGAACGTTCCAGGAATTGGCCTTTCTCTTAGGTTAAAATAGTACTCACTAGTAAGCATCAGTGAACAGATTTCTATGACTGCATGGAGTAGCTGTCTTGGAACTCATTTCTTTTCAGAAAAAATAATGTCTCTAAATATTAATGTTTTTTTTCCTTCAAATTGAATCTCTTGTTTTTTTTATGTCATTAACTTCCTTGCATGGACCAAAAGGGGATTTTCTTCCAGTTAAACGTGTGAAAATGATCGTCTGCATAATTTTGTAGATACTCCATGTAGCTTTGTAGATCTTGCTATTTTGTGGTCATCTGCCCTTAACATCTATCACTCTTGTATTGAAATGCACAAAAAAAAACAATATGGTAACATTGTTTTTTGTATTAGAAGTGTTCACCCTCCAGTCATGTAAAAAGTTGGCAGCTAAATTGTTGTTGAGCAATCTGGAATTAGTCTGATTGTGTTCTTTTGTCCTTACATGACTTCATTTTGTTGTTGTTTTGCTTTATAGTGCTCAACACTCTCACTATGAAGTTGAACTGAATTCTCAGTTTGATAAGCAAATAACAGTGAAGCAAATAAATGTTACAACATTTTTCTATTGTCATGTTATATGTAAAGTTTTTGTAGATACCAGTAGGTGACAGTAGACATGTACCAATGCCAATTGTGCAATTGACCAATGTTTTTCTTGCTTATTGCTTAAGTCAGCAATATTCATCTTGCAAAATTTGTATTGCCTGTCACTTTTTATAGACCTGTTTTTCATGCTTAACATTAACATTGGTAAACAAAATCAAATGCAAGTTTAGAGATCTACCTGTTTCCCTAGAAAAAGAAATTGATAGAAATAAAGGGAAATAGAGAAAGAATGTCAGTCAGAGGAAAACTTGTGCCTGAGACACAAGTTCTGTTATGTGTATGTAAAGCATTTAAAAGTGAGCAATGCTATTTACTGTTCCCTAATGATTGTCAGTAATAAATCGTGGTTATTGGCAGACCCTTTGTCTTTGTAAAAGAATTTGAAATTAACCGTGTGCGCAGTTGTCCAGCAACATAGCAAGATGACCTAATATGCACAATTTCTTGTTGCTGTGATTGTCTTGAGCGAATATGAAGATAGTTTGAAGACTGTAAGTGTAGCCTGTTATCCAGCCATGTAGAGCCCACAGGTAACAGAGTGACTATTGTGAGAAGCTGTACATGCCTGGATACCAGGCTGAGAGCGCTTTAATAGCTTAATCACTGTGAGAATCTGGTGTAGTACATGAAAAATGAAACAAATTTAGATTGGCTGTCTTTGATAATAACAGTCAACTGTGTATAACAGTATCATATATTGATTCCAGCGAATTATTGGAGCACAGAAATATGTTAATGCATTACTGCCTGTTCTTTTTTCATTCCCATGATCAGTCCTATAATCAATTAGCCTGATGGGATGCCATCCCCGAACACTGGTTGTGATATTTTCAGTACTATTTTCTTTCAAAACTGTAACAAGGGGTCCCTTTTTCATTTATGAGCACATACTCCCTACAAAGATGTCTGCAATGTTGAAATGGTTTCAGAAAAATGATGTTCAAAACTTGTTTTTTATTTGAGAGCCACTTGATATGTAATTTTTTTTGAAGAACAGTTTCTGTTCATAAAGAGCTAAGTTGCTACCATTTCTAAGGCTGCATTCAGTAATAGATAGGCCATGTTCACTGATGCAAATCGAATGAATTTAGGCTGAGTGAGAAGTTAGACTGAATGATAAACAGCAAGTAGATTTGATGGTGGAAACTTCCCTTAGAGATCATTTGCTGACATTTTCTTCTGAAATTTGTGGTTGAAGCCATGGTTGGTGTGGATGTGGTCTTATCAAGCTTCTGACTGCCAATCAAAAAATTGACTGCAGCATGATCATTAGGGAAGAGTGATATTTAGAAGCCAGTTTCAGGATTCTTCTTGTTGACGTGGACCTGTGCAGGGCTGTGGGTCGGGGTCTTGGTGCAGCGGACAGCGAGGTCGATCAGCTGGATCTCTGGGCTCTTCTTGCGCCACTTCAGCCACATGGTCACATGGTAGCGGATGGACACCTGGGAAAGGACAGGGAATGTGATGGACCATATCATGTTATGGGGAAAATGGAGAACTCTGAGAATCACTGGCAAGCCAAATTATCATCAATGTGTTTCACCCTCGCTTAAGTCATAATTCCATTATCAGCAAAATACTAGTATACAGTGTAATAGGTTGGTCAAACAAAATGAAAACAAAAATACTAAACAGTATAAAATAGTTAACAGAACCAAATACCTATGCAGGAGGCACAAAGTCCACATACCAGGTTGGTTTGTTTCAAACAATGAATTTTTAATTCTTAATGCATTAATGATAGAAAATATAGAGCAACTAAAAAGACAAGGACTCTTTTAGCTGTTGCTGCTAAATTATGAGCATTTTGTGCATCTTTTTCAACTAAAAAACATGTGGTGGCAAATCTTACAAGGAATTTGTGACTAAAGATAGCCAAGGTGATACATTTTCTGTCTTGGTAGAGGATGATGTCCCTTTGTAGGTTCAGGTCAAGGCCCCTTTTTACTCACAGGAACAGTGGGCTGCCAATTTATTGTGCTAGGATAATACAGTACCAGGCTCCATCTACACCTGAATGGAGTGAAGTTGTGTACCTTTCCCAAGGACACAGCATCTAGCCAGGAAAGCCAGGAATGGAACCTGTGATCTCTCGATCTCATGTCTGCCTAACCACTTGTCCCTAGTCACCACTTATTTGTAGCGATACAGAATCTAATCTGTACTTACGATGGACCAGAAGAAGTAGATGATGAAGAGAGCCACCATGAGGGCGATGAGGCCCCCAGCCTCGGTGGGGCTGTTGTGGTTGATGTTGTTGATGGCGCCCTGCAGGCACAGCCAGCCGCTGACACTGGCCAGGGGGGTGATGAACAGAAAGCACACCATGTCCCCCATGAAGGTACGCTTCTCCATGGCATTGTCCTTGTTCTTCAGCCACTGGTAGAAAGTACAACAAGGATGCCTTAGTTCCCTTTTCTAAGAAAATGGAGATATTAGAAGCTGCCCTATATACAGATAGGTGTACAGGAGGATTTTAATAGGTTTTAACTGACCTTGAGGAAGGATCGAGACTTGGTTGTGATGGGAAACTGCTGGTTGCAGATCTCGCAGGTGGTGGAGCCGGAGGATGAACATCCACAGCTCAA